AGGAAAGAAGCAACGATGACCCCAAATCACTATGAGTTCTGAAACAGGAAAATGGGCGTGAGAAAAGCAAACAAATTATGGGTAACATGAGTTCTTAGGCGTTCCTCTCTTTCATTCTTCCTGATAAAAGTCAGGAAATACAAAGGTAACATTAGAAAAACATCTGCTGTCACATTTTCATGTCTCTATACCTGCAGCTTCCCTGGCCCCCTCGGCTCATCAAAAGTGGCCTCTCCTCCTTATCTAAGCCCACTCTAACCAACAAAATTTGAAAATGCTACAGAGTGATAGGAAGAAAAATGGGACATCTGGATCGTTCTCCACTCTTCCTTCCTCCTTCTTCTAGGGAACAAAGTCTTCAGGTTTTCATTTTACTGTATGGGATCCTTTGTCAGCTGATCAAGATAATGAGTGCCAGTAGAAATGTAGACAAAACAGGGCCAGGAAATTATAAAAGAGAACCATCAGTATATCCAGAGGAACCCCAAAGTTGACAGAAGAACAGTCCTTTTAAACAAACTTGAAATCTGCCAAATGCGAGACTTGGAAAATGGACCCCCCCCCAAACCTGAGACCTGGCTAATCTCAGTGTACAGGCACACTTTCATGCATTAATGAAATCTTCCTGAGCAGATCCCAGCCAGAACCCGAAAGCTAAAGTTCATGGATAGACTTGTTGAAAACAAAGGAAAAGCAATTGCTCATAGGATAAGTTGGATGTACAGCCCATAAATATACACTCTGGACTAGAATGTATACATTGTAATGTCTGCAGTGATTTACTTCCCTTGTCACATAATGGACCTGATGAGTGTGCAGGAAATTTCCTTGACTTGTCACTTCCCTATGTATATATATATATTTGCTTTCTTTGGTGTTTTTTAAAAAATTAACTCAACGCTTTCAAGCAGAACAATACAGGGTCACACCAACAGGTTACAGTTTGGAGGTTAATTCGATTGATGTGTGTATGTTTCAACATTTTCCCCCAAAGGAGGCCAGTAAACTTAGTGGATATGCTTTAATTGTATCCACAGTTGAACCCATGGTTTAAAAATGCTGTATTCTAATTGAATCTGTAGTTTAAAAATATAGTCCCTTGGGTCCTTTTTAAGGAAAAAGGTAAGGTAAAAATATTTTAAATAAATATAAACCCTTTGCAGAGGACAGTCCTCTGTCTGAAGGTATCCTCAGTTTGAAGGCTATCTAGTCCAAGACCAGTTGAAAGACAATGGACCACAATAAAAGGGAGCAAGGACCTTGAGGCGCCCATCAAGAGGTAGCACCTGGGAAGCTGTCTGAACAAATGATACCTGATCAGATTCTTTTTCACTATGTGAGACACATTTCACTATCTTCTACTTAACATTATTGTCATTCATCCCATATTTACATGCATCCATTTAAATTAACATGGACAAATTGTACACACATATGTCTGAGATTTGTGTCCTGGGTGATATTGTTTCTCCTTTGGCAGCAGAAGTGATCTGTGGACTGTTTGCTTGTCCGAAGCTCATTCTCGGTGCATCCAGACCAGCTCCCTGCAGAAAAAGATATGCAGTACATCTATATGGCCAGTGGAGGGAGGTTGATTAACAGTTGATGATCTGCTATTTAGGGAGAAGGCACAACTGTATATCTTGAAATGAGACAAATGGAAAGACATAGCTATTTGGTAACAGAAGAAGGGGGTGAAGCATGCTCCTTCTCAGACCAAAAGTTGACTCAGACTAAAGTGTCTCTCAAATGCCCAGATAGGGAAGAATGCAACATTTGTTTCTGCTGGTATTGCATTGGATAGGTCTAATGCAGCCATAAACATCTGCAGAAATTTTCCAAATGTCATGAGTGTACCTGCTCAGTCAGAGAGCCATAATCAATTCTGACGATTCCCAGTCATTTTTAAATGGCTGCAAAAAATATATATAATCAGACATATTAAGATGTTGTTTTGAGGTAAGAGGCTACAGAAACATTCTGCTGACAAGGATATTGTCAGATCTCGTGTGCCTGTACTGGAAAACTGATGAATAAGACATCAATGAACTTTAGATAGCTTTGGCTGCATTGGTTATCTTAAAACACATAGAAGCCCCTGAGATTTCCAGCATCAAAGGCTCTTCCTGTATTTTACACATTCACTGCTTGTAGCGCTGCATCTAAATTTAACGGAAAAGATGGAGAGATGACACAGAGAGCTGGGAATATATTTCCTAATACCACTCCTGCTCTTCCACAGTGCAGCTTTGCCAATGGTCAGCAGTGCCAAATTAAAGTGATATACAGTTGTGTTGTTCAGTTTTTATAGCAAAGTTGACTGTGTCAACAATGCAAGGAAGCAGTTGTTTAGTATTAATTATATATATATAGTATGAGGTGATTTATTACCCTGTTCAGTAGCATTCCTGTTCTTTCAGTCCACTGGTCATCTCCAAGTGAATAGGGCTGGTGGAAGCTAGATAGTGGTCGTTTCAGCCTCTAAGGACCACTTTCCCAGAAGCAATGAATTCCTGTGTTGAGCTCCTACATTGTGTAGAGTTGTAATAAAACAGTAGGCACTACGAACAAGATCCTGTTGTGGAAAACCATGGACAAAAAGGCTATAATGCAACTGGTTTCCCTCCTTCCATTTGCCATTCAGATCCAGGACCACAATGGGGTACCCCAGTGGTTCCCAGCCTTGGGCTCCCAGATGTTCTTGGACTACAACTCCCAGAAATCCTGGCCAGCACAGCTAGTGGTGAAGGCTTCTAGGAGTTTTAGTCCAAAAACATCTGAAAACCCATCATTTGCCATACTACTGAATGAGAGGGAGGATAATGGACAGACTGCTGATGAAGTAGATTTCCTTGCATAATTGTCCATTAGTGACTGTGGCAAATAAAGCTAATTTTGACCCAGCAGTGTCATATAGGCCCATGTTGTCTATATTTTATGTTGAGCAAACAATCCTCTTGCATAAAATATGGTTCTGTATCTGCTGTCTTGTTAATTTGGGGGCAAAAAGTTTCATGAGAATTATAGTTTTCACATGTTTTACAGAGGATCATGTATCACATTATTAGTCTTCTCTTCGCCATTTTTAAAAATAGCCTGAGCTGTTTAAAGTCCATCTGAATTCCTTGTCTAACACTGTTTATCCTGTTGTCAGGGGCATGTATGCCAAATTTCTTACTGGTACTGTATTACAAAATGCAGAATGTTAGTGCAAATGGGAACACATAATCTTCACTATTAGGATATATTACAAGGTGTTCCAGAAACCAGTGATTGTGACTGGTGTTCCTGGTTAGGGCTTCACTTCTCAGTTTTCTGTTAGGATATGTCGGTAGAACCTAATTTATATAGTTTATAAAGTTACTTTTCAGAGGAATGAACATAATGACACTTGCTGAAATCAACTATAATTGATCCGTGGTTGAATGAATACTGTGCCAGGGAACCGAGTTTTCCTGCTCTTCTGCCAGAGGTACATTTATTTTGAGGTGGATGTAGAATGGATTCATTGGAATTGCTCTCACATACAGTATGTGAATGCCCCTGATAGGAGCAGAAACACTTGCTCTTGCTCGCCTGCTCCTTCGCTAGTTAAGGAAAAATTTAAAGATGTCTTACCAGGAAGCTCTGAAGTGGAGACAAACTTCCCTTTGCAAGTACGACAGTGCTAAACTCTGTCTTCCAATACAAAACTTAACACAGAATAAACAATACCATTAACGACTATAAAGAAACACAGAAAGCCATGGGTAAAATCACTGCTAGCTAGACTAAATTAATGTCATCCAGATAGCAGGAAAAATGCTAGTGTTATTCCAGGTATTTTTATACAAACAAATATTCCATCTGGAGAACCCTTAAAATTAACTATGTCTTTGTCTCATTTACCTCTAATGGATTTTTCTCTTAGCAATTTTTCAGAGCTCCAGTCTGTTAGTTTCCATGCACAATTGAAGGTGCTGGTTATTACCAATAAAGTCCTTGATGGTTTCGGATCTCAATACTTGTCAGAATGTCTGTCCTACAGAACAGCTACCCGTCCCACTCTCTCTTCATAGTCCATGATGTTAAGAATAGTGGCAATGAAGGAGGACAAGAGAGGGAGCATTAGAAATTGTGCTTTCTCAGTGGTAGTTCTATCTCTTTGGAACAAATTTGCAATAGAGGTTCAATAGGCTTCGTCCCTTCAGGTTTTTAAGGAAATAGTGAAAACTCAACTTTTTGAAGTGGGTCCTTATTAATGTTGATCTGAGGTTTTAGTTGTTTCAACTGTTTCTTTCTATTTAAAGTCAAGTTTGCTTGTGGCAAGGGACTAATTATTTATTGATATAAATTGGATGATTGTATTGAATTGGGTATTGTTTGACTTGATTTGCTGTCGTAAATTGGCCAGGGAGTGCTATGCACTATGGGGCAGTACACAAGTTAATTCAACAAACATAATCTTTGCAAAAGTTTAATGAATCTTCCTTTGAGGTTATCAATCAACAAACATAATCTTTGCAAAAGTAGCAGGCCTAGTTTAATGAATCTTCCTTTGAGGTTATCATGTCAGCATATTGCAGCAAGAACAGCACAGTCTTATGGCACCTTAAGGTGTGACACGTTTTGATATAAGCACTCATGGGCTTCAGTTCACTTCCTTCTAAACAAATGGATCCTCATTCACAAACGGTTATGCTAAACACAAATTTGCTTGTTTTCAAGGTGCCACACAAGATGCTTTCTTGCCAGTCCTATGATGGTCAGCCTGCGATTCATTTGTTTAAGGAAAAAATATTGGATGACCACATCAGCCTCTTTCAGAACTCATGTCACTCATGTCCAGAAGTTTATCTTCTGCCACCAGTCAGTGTCCTTGGACTTATGCTGTCAACAATGATTGTGGGGTGGGAATATCTGGAGGAAAGAGAATTCACACAGTAGAGTCTGGCAGGATGCCTATTAGGAAATGTTAACAGCCTTTGCTGTAAGCATTCTCACCCATTCTATGCATTTGGGCAGCCTTTCCTGTCTATGGTCAGATTTCACACACTTCCCATTCTTTGCTTGCTTCAGGAGACACAGAAAGAAAGGTATTTTCCCTGATCTACATGGGTGGTTGTTTAATACGGCAGGTGAATCGAGAACAGCGGGATTTTGAAAATTTGCTACAACACAAGCATTTATCAACAGCCATTAATTCAACATGAGGAGGAGGCACTTGGCAATCTTATTCCTTCTGTCATCTTCGATGGTGAATATCTTCAGTTTATTGGAAATCAATGAGCAGGTAAGAAGTACATTTACTTTTATATGGTGACATGTTAATATCTGTACTGATTGCCAGTATAAAGATTTGATGATGGAGATTCACCTCATCAACTGGTAAGAAAGTTAGTTGGAAAGCAGGGATAAATCCAATATTTATCCCAACTAGAGTAGACCTACTGAAATTTATGGCAATTGTTAACCACAAGTAACAGGTGTTCCATTGCTTTCAGTGGCAGCACTCCTGCCAGGAGAAATGTTGGATGTAGCCCATAGATAGTAGCTCTGTTCTGTTATTTGGAAACCATGTAGAGCCAACCCATAGACAATGAAATGGGACCCTACCCACTTTCCATTATCCAATTCCTGTGTTAATCTGAAGTAGTCTATATACTGATTATTTCCATGTGAAGCTTGAGGCTTGAGTTTTTGCATGGTTCCTGATCACTTATGCAGACTGTATTTTTGGAGTATGTTTCTTTGCACATAGATAGGTTCCATACACATGCACTAATCAGCCTTGTGGAGACCCACACTGAGGACACTGGATGTAATCTTGCTTCCATCTCAATTTATTGACTATTCATGGATTCAGATGAAAATCCAGGACCAATGTCAGTGCTTAACTGGTAAAAAAGAAAGGGCTGCCAATTATTTCCAACCTGGAAGTACTGCCAAATTTCTTCCTTGTCTATCTTTAATTCTTGTAAAGCTTAGTGAAGATTCTGTGCAAGTGCATGCATGCTTAGCGGTGCAGAAAATACACATAATCTGAAATATTTTCATTCCAGCCAGCCATAATAATCCTAGGACTTTAGTATGGATACTGAAATACAGCCATAATTAGGACTTTAGTATGGATACTGAAATAAGCTCTAGAGCTCATTCTTGGCATCTCTTGGTTGGTACTAAGCCAAGTGGTTAGGTCTGCTGCTCTCACCCTGAAAATGTTTTGGGTTTCTAAGGCAATACATGGTTGTAAGTCTTTTCGAACAGAATGAGACACACTTCTGAGAAAAACTGCAAAGCAAAGTGTCCTGCTTATATGCCATCCCACAGTGATTAAAGGAGTCTCTCTGGGCAGTTTACAATTTAATTACACAGGCTACGCATTCCCGTTCCCCAGCAACCTGGGTATTCAGTTTACCAGCATTGGCAGGATGGAAGACAAAGTCATCCTTGAGCCAGCTACCAGAGCCTATAGGGATCAAACTCAGGTTGTGAGCAGTTTTAACTGCAGAACCACAAGTCTCCAAAATGCATAGGATTGGATTTAAAAATCTGGCATCATTCATTCGTTTGTTTGTTTGTTTGTTTGTTTGTTTGTTTTTACCATGCCTTTCTCCTTAAAAAGGACCCAAGGCAGCTTAGTTCATTAAAAGCCAATATTTAAAAGCTAGAAATAGTAAGTGTACAAATATTTTTAAAGAAATAAAAAAATTATATTAAAAAATTGTAATTAAAATCAATACTAAAAATACATTTAAAAGCCACAAGGAACAGCAATTCATTTAAATGTACCCTGGAACAACAATCCATTTAAAAGCCTCTTTTAAACAACCAATCACTAAAGGAAAGTGTGCCTATAGAGAAAAGCCTTCATCTGCTTGAGGAACAACAGCAAAGATGGGGTCAGCCTGGCCTCCCATGAGAGGGAGTTCCAAAGTTTGGGAGGAGTGTCAGAGAAGACTCTCTCTGGTGCACCGTGAAGGTTGTGGGACAGAGAGAAAGGCTTCCCCAGTGATCTTAACACCGAGGCAGGCTTATAAAAGG